CTGCATTCCACAGTGGAGTGTCTCTTCCTATCTGCACTGGGGAACAAATGATTGTCATTCAGGAATAGGACAGGATGTTTTCAAAATATTTCACATTAGATCACAAATATAGAGCCTGCAAATTAAATAAAACTATCTTTTTCATATTTTAGGTTTCTTCTCCAAGTCTCCAGTAGGTTCATTTATAGGTATTTATTAAAATAAAATAAGAGATACATTAACTGATATAAGAAATTTATTATCCAATATTTTAATAATGATGAAAAATTGGAATCACTAAAATCAGTAACAATTAAACAATAATTATAATTAATATATATAACAGAATATGTCATCAAGCATCTAAATTCATGTTCTATATTACTCTATCTGAAACCAAGAAAATACAATAGTATATATCTAAATAAAAAAGTGCAGCAAACTATATAGGCTACAAAAATTTGATAGAATATGAGAATAAATATATGTTTATATGGGTGTATGTATATATTTTTAAATCGGAAAAATATAATTCAATATATATTCAACACTGATCTCTGACTTGTAAGACTTTGTATCTATTTCTATTTTCCAAATTTTCTAAGTGAACATGTATTTCCATTACAAAAGAAAATTTTGTCTTTACAGAAAGAAAAGCAGAGGCCAAAAATGACAGAAGAAACTCAGCTTTGATAACGTACCGTTGTGATGGCAAAAGGTGCAATGGCAGTCGAGGGGGAGAAATAAAGAATGTGCACACACTTCTGCCCTTTTCAATGCTTTATTCACTCAAATCACTCAATACAATATCACTCTATAAGTTCTTAATCAATAAAATGACAACCCTTAATGCTAGGCACTGCAATAGACATAATCAATCCATAGTTAAACAATTCTAGATTAAGTCTAAGCACTGCAAACACACTTAATCATCACAGGCTCATGACAGACAATCCCTCTGCATGCTAAGCTCAAGTGTCAGATCAAAAGTCTCAAGTCTTAGACTTTAAGTCCAGCAGATGCACACTCACTCAGACCATGGTAATCAGATCAGGAACCAAGGCAGGCTTCTCCTGGAGTGGAACTGACAGCTGGTTCAAGAGAGGGTTGTAGGGAGAAGTTGCAGCACTCACCAGGGTCAAGATGTGGCTATAGAGTTTGAGAGCCATGAGGAAGATACAGAGGATCAGGCAAATTGCTGAGAGCATAGCCAAGTAGGAATGACGCATGGCATTTTGGGTTGAAAGGTGACCCTGCTCAGGGATTAGGGTGGCTCTGGGTTTGGGGTGGATCCTGCTGGGAATAGGGCGTATCCTGCTGCCTCAGGCGCCCGCTCCTTTGGAGTTCCCGTTGAGTTCTCATGGTGTTCTGGTGGAGTGGAGGCAGGGTGTTCACGAAAAGTGTGTGCAGAGTGCCGGTGAGAGTTCGGGAATAAAGAGTTGCTGTTCGAATCTGCAAGGCTTTTGTGGTGGCTCGGTTATTTTGTGCCCAGCCAGACTGCGGCAGCAAATGATGAGAAGAGTTGGGATGTCAGTTCAGGTCCTCATCAGGCTCTCCATCATGAGGGCATCAGTGTCAGCTGGCTGAATGTCTCCATCATTTATACTAAATTTGGGGGTTTCTGACCACCCTTTTAATCCCTATCAGCTGCCACTGGATTTCTCAGTGATGTAATTTGCCCTGGGGTTAAAGCATCTGGTCTGGTGGTCCCCACCCTGATTTTCTTGCCTTTCCCCTTTATCAGGGCGAGGACAGCATGACAGAGACTTTACTCTGAGCTTGTCAGGGTGGGGAGAAGTCACTTGTTTGGGCCCAAGGGCCATACTGGAGGGCTCCATTAGGTGTTCCTGGTGAGACTGCAGGTTTCAAACTGAAGTTTTAAAATGAAGTTGCTGAAGCTAAGGCCTAAGCAAAAGCTCAGGATGCTACAGGAACAAGGCTACACCCACTGCAAACAGCAACCATAGATTTCATGCATCACTGCAAATTCCTTCTTTGCCTCAGTTGTTTCTACACATTTTCATTTCGATTAAAGGTACTAGTTATTCTATACAAAAGAGTAATAGTAGCAAAAACAGCATGGTATTGGCACCAAAATAGACTGGTAGAATAGAGGACACAGAGACTAACACACATAATTACAGTTATCTTATATTAGACAAAGGTGCCAAAAATATGCATTGGAGAAAAGATAGCCTCTTCAACAAATGGTGCTGGGAAAACTGGAAATCCATATGCAACAAAATGAAATTAAACCCTTATCTCTCACCATACACAAAAATCAAAGTGGATCAAGGACCTAAGAATTAAACCAGAGAAACTGCGTCTAAAAGAAGAAAAAGTAGGCCCAAATCTCCATCATATCAAATTAGGTCCCTACCTCCTTAATAAGGATCCTATAGTTCAAGAATTAAAATCAAGAATTAATAAATGGAATAGATTGAAACTAAAAAGCTTCTTCTCAGCAAAAGGAACAATCAGTGAGGTGAATAGAGAGTCTACAGCTTGGGAGCAAATTTTTACCCCTCACACATCAGAAAGAACACTAATCTCTGGGGTATATAAAGAACTCAAAAAGCTAAACACCAAAAAACAAATAACTCAATAAATAAATGGGCCAAGGAACTGGAGAGACACTTCTCAGAAGGTGATATACAATCAATCAACAAATATATGAAAAAATGTTCAATACCTCTAGCAATTAGAGAAATGCAAATCAAAGCTACTCTAAGATTTCATCTCACTCCAATCAGAATGGCAGCTATTAAGAATTCAAACAACAAATAAGTGTTGGCGAGGATGTGGGGGAAAAGGCACACTCATACATTGCTGGTGGGACTGCAAATTGGTGCAGCCAATGTGGAAAGCAGTATGGAGATTCCTTGGAAAACAGGAATGTAACCACCATTTGACCCAGATATCCCCCTCCTAGGTTTATACCCAAAGGACTTAAAAACGGCATACTACAGGGACACAGCCACATCAATGTTTATTGCAGCACAATTCACAATAGCTAAATTATGGAACCAACCTAGATGTCCATCAGTAGATAAAGAAAATGTGGTATTCATACACAATGGAATATTACTTGGCATTAAAAGAGAATAAGATCATGACATTTGCAGGTAAGTAGATGGAGTTGGAGAATACAATGCTAAGTGAAGTTAGTCAATCTCAAAAAACCAAATGCCAAATATTTTCTCTAATATAAGGAAGGTGATTCATAATGGGATTGGGAGTGGGAGCATGAGAAGATTAGATGAACTCTAGATAGGGCAAAGGGAAGGGAGAGGAAAGGTGGGGGCAAGGAGTGTACAAAAGATGGTGGAATGAGATGGACATCATTACCCTAAGTATATGTATGAAGACACAAGTGGTGTAAATACACTTTGCATACAACCAGATATATGAAAAATTGAGCTTTATATGCATAATATGAATTGTAATGCATTCTGATGTCATAAATGACAAATTAGAATAAAAAGATAAAATAAATCTAAAAACAAAAAGTTATTCTTGTAAAACATGTAATGTTATTCTGCTGAGCTCTTTCTGATGGCGCATGTTCCTTCACAGTTAGATTGCCTCTTCTCTTGGCTTGATTACTAAGGACTGCCCTTTCCAGTGATCCGTTCTCACCCTCCTCAAATCTTCCTCAATACCCCCTGCTAATGTTTGACCTGATTCAACCTGAATGGTGGACCTCCCAGGGCCTATTCAGACCAGCATATGATGCCTGGGTGCCTTCTCTCTCCTAAGCATCTACTCTGTCCTCTCCTGAGGTCCTAAGACATGCACCTTGAAGGAGTAGCACTAATCACAAAGGGCACCTACATTCCTCGGGCTTTTCTCCTGTAAGGTGGGTTAGCTGTTTGCATGAGGGATGGGGAAAGAGAGGGGCTTCTTGCTTGGTGCTTTAGATCTCTGGTTGTTTCTGTTGGTTCTTTATTACTTCAGGAATCTAGGGAATATTTCAGGAAGAAATGTGGGTGTGCTTAGCAAGTCCATGGTGTCTTAGATTGTCTCAGAGCAGAGTAGGCAGTCCGGGACATTGTGCCAGAAACTTCCAACCATCCTGGGGAATGCAGTTTTATGGAGACATTGTAATGTTTTAAATAACCCATATCCCACCAGAGTATATAAAAAACAAGTTTATATAAATTACCTTCTGACACCTATTGCAGAGCAGAGAACTAAAGGACACAGGGAGAACCAGGTCACTGTTGCAGGACTAGGAATACAGAGAGAGTTAAGGGTGGTCTTGGTCAGACCCAGAACCTGTGGATCTCAATTGTCTCAAGTCAAAAATGCTATAGGAGATTGTTCCTGAGAGAAAATTTGTTCAATTTCTTTTCCCTCTGTGTGTCCAAATTAAAATAGACATGGGGCCCCCTGTGAGATGGCACCGAATGTTTTCTCTTCCTCTACAGTTTCTTAGAATGTCCCAGGAGTTTAGCAGTCAAGTCAGAAGATTCCCAGCACAATCCACCTGGCCTGCAATATCAGGGATCTTTGTTTTGATCCAGAGAGCTATTCTCTGCTTCATGAACAAATACAGATCTATTTCCTCTGTGGAGGCACTGTTGTCTGGAAGACTGTCGTGGCCACAATTTTTAGTATTCTCTCAAAAAATGAATGTGGGTGAAACTCCAGGAAAGGAGTTTCCTTTTCAAGGAAAGTACTGAAGGAAGTAATGAAGTACTGAAGTACTTCCACACTAAAATAATACAATGGTGCACAGAGTGCCTTCTGTTTTCTGAACATTCCCAGGTCTGTCTCTGAGCTCTATTTTTTAGTCCTTATGATGGTTATTCAAGATTTCTCTTCTCCTAAGCATTTGTTCTTGAGGTAATAGGATTTCCAAATGGAGGGTGCTGCAGAGATAATGGACTAACTGGAGAGGGCTGTTTATTTCAATATCTGTAATATTCTGATTATCTTCATTTAGGTGTTTGTAACGGAGAGCTACAGCCTGAGGCAATATCTCAGAGCATCTGTCCAAGAACAGGCCAGGAGGAAAAATGGCCAAATTTTTCCGAGTACTCTGGTCTCTTTTGTTCTTCATTTGGATACATTTGGTATCAGTTTTAAGTGAGTAATTTGGCTGATCCTGGCAGAAATGTAAGGCTGATTTGTGTGCTTTGATATTGTAATCTGAAAGACAATATTTTAAATTAAAAAATTTTTTCATTGGATCATTTACATAAATATAGGTATTATATATGAAATATGTATGTGTATATGCATATGTTATATATATATATATATATATATATAACATATGCATATACACACATATACAAACACACGTACACACACACACACACAGGGGTCGGGGTAGACCAAAAAACTCTAGGTCAATGATTAGATACCTTAGTTTTCCTGTCTATTAGATGCAAATTTTGAAGGCTAACTCATAGAGATAGGAAGGCTTGGGTAATTTAGTGAGGTACCATGTAAAAATGACTGGCAGTATGCCTAGACCACAGCACATGTCAAAAATCTAGAACTTTTGAAAATGTTGTTTTCAAGGGGATCATGAAGTCAGGGTGAGGAATCATAAAGAGATCTAGCCTCTAGAACTAAGATCTCAGTTTTTCACATATCTAAAATCAGCCAAATGATCACAGAATTCCAGCATACCTTATTTCTTTACTTTATTGGCTACCTGCTCTGAATCCTCTCAAGTACAGGCTAATATGTGTTAGTTAAAAAACAAACAAACAATAAAAAACTTTGGTGTTTTGGGCTGGCAACTTTTATGGGAGCAAGGATGCATTGATGTAATACCACTGATTATGAGAGATAGTAGTATTTTAATGAATGAATACATGTATAAATGAAATAGTGTTTTTGATTATTGAAAGCTTCCTTTGTAATACATCAGAATTATTTATTTTTCCAACAGAGTAAGCTGTGATTTACCAGGAACTAGATTCTGTAACTATTTTCATGTATTCTCTAGTTTCAGGCCCTCGACAATGGTGGCCACCACATGGAATTATGAAGGTAATTGTTCACTAGATTTCTCAGGACTGAGATTCTAATCTGAGATTTTTTTTTTTTTTTTTTTTTTATTCTTTTGAATTGTCATTTGAAACTTTACTGCAACAAGATCATCAATGATATTCTTAAAGTTCTCTTCGTATGAGGCTGGGAGGCACACTGCTGCTAGAGGAGCCCAAAGCAGAGTGATCCAAACTGGGAACCAAATCAGAGTTTGTTCATATGTACACCAATAAATCCCCCCTAGTGCCTGAGAATGTTTAGGAGTGTCAACAATTGGCAGGTGACAGGGTGACAGGTTCTTAAGACCCATAGACTTGGGCACTACCATGGTTCCTGCTCTTAAGGAGCTCACTGTCTGGTGGAGGGAGCATCTGGAGTGAATGTCCCTAAATGAATGTATTTAGATGGCTCACATGATGGCTATGCAGGTTGTAAATAGAGAAAACAATGTGGGAGTAGGGATGGAGGAACATGTGAAAGAACAAGACCTCTGAACTGGGCCTCAAGTTATGTTTGCAACTTGTCTGAGAGCAAAAATATGCTTGGTTAGGTGGTCAGAACAACCTAAAAGACAAGGAACAACTGAAAAAAAAAACCCTAAAATGTTAAAAAGCAAGGTGGTATAAGGAAGGTTGGACGAGTTGGGAGGATTTTGATCTCATGAGATGATTTAGCTTCTAATAAGAAAGTTTTTTTTTTTGTTTTTAAAAGAAAAATGAAGTACAATAAAAGAATTGTAATCAATGGAATACAAGTATTCAACTAATATTTAGATACTGAAACTATAGAAAATGGAGAGAGAGGAAGTAGAGGGATTAGTTAGTGATGGTTGTGGCCTCGCCATGATGATAGTATTAGATAAAAGAGGAAGTGGAGCTTCTGAGCTCAAGCATTACTCCTTTGTCTCCGAATTCCCAGTCCAATCCTCTCTCTACCTTGTACATGTGGTGCTTTATCTGTACCAATCTCATGTTACCAACAGTCCCTGGTCCCTGAGACCACTATCTTCAAGCTCCAAGCTTTCAATGACGCCGGCTGTGTCCAGGGAAGAACTTCCAAGTAATCATAACACCTGGGGTCCAGCCTGTTGAGAATGCCTCTTCTTTTGTTTTCAGGTTTCCCTACAAAATCAGGGAGCTTATTTTAAATGATTTCACATTTTAGAATCTTTGTGATAGAAGATAGCACTGAATGTTCTCACAGTGGATAAAATAAATATTTTAAATTAAGTTGTAGTTTTCCAGTGAAATGTCTTTTTTAACTATTGGGCTTCAGTTTCCTTAGCTGAGTGGCTTAGAAAATGTCTAAGAATATTTCCTAGTCTGGTAGTATGGGTATAAGGGACACTGAGAGAGCAGATCAATGTCCCAGATACCTTCTTCATGTTTATCCACTTCCCCAATCCATTATAGCATACCAGACCTCTGTTCTAAGTACCAAGGAGATCCTAACAAGGGTATCACGTGGTTATTCAGTGGGCTATGCATAGGGCCTAGTTCTATTGCTTGTGTAAATGGAGCCTGTGAGAGTTCTTTTTGAGACCAGAATACGGTAATGAGACTGCTTAGATTTTCCTAAGAAAGTCCAAATGTGGTGCACCTGTCTGAGCATGGCTCTCATTGTATCATTCTTTTCAACTCAATTTCAGATCAAATGTCCTCATAAGAAAATGAACTTGTGTTGGTTCAGTCAAAGACCTGATCCACGCCCTGACTTAAAACAACCCATCTCCGGCAACAATTTCGTAACCTATGACAATCCCTGCGTCTTGTGTCTTGAGAGCTTGTGAATACTTATCAGGAAAAAGACAACTATGGCTGTGCTCATTCATAGCAATTGACATCTACCTTTCTTGTCAAGTACCCCACCATTGAAGCCAGGGGTTTGCTCCGGTTTCTGCAGATAGCCATCAGCCTCCACTCAGAAGGACATGTGCTACGAGACAGCCCACTGGAGTAGAAAGCAGACACATTGTACTGAGCAGTGTTCCTCAGGTTCTTTCTGTTTCTGAGCCCTCACATTTCTATATGGTAGTTGACCGATTTCTACTTAAAGTTCTGAAATATCTCTTCAAGTTCCCCAATTCTTTGATTTTAAGACAAATTATAGTTTCACCTTCTCTTCCATATCTTCCGCCTCTTATGTGTTTGAAACTCTAAACTAGGATGAGACAACTTCAACATTTGGGTCCTTCATGTATGATTTAGTACTTAGACTTTTGCATTTACATGACATGAAGTCTGTGACTAGACTCTGAAATTTCACATCACAATGGTTTCAGATTCGATGCCTACAGGAGCCAGGGCATTTTGAAGGGGCAAAAACCTTCCTTATGGCAACAGACTGGAGCCCTCATCCCAACAATGGATTTGTAATTTTATACAGGGACAATGACAGGAATATACAAACCCCAGGTCATTCTGCTCATGAATAATTCAACCAAAAAAGGAGAATATATTGACCAAATAGGTGAGGGCTGGTATGCTTCAGACATCACAAACTCAGGCCTGACTTAACAGCTTGTTTTCAAAAATTCTGTAGCATATGTCATACTAACTCACAAAAGTGGCATCTTTGAATCCTGGAAACATGACTGGGTAGGAAATCCAATAATTTGGCTTTTGTCTTTAGTCAATTCCAGTTATACACTGGATTTTAATTTCTTGAATACAAAATAAAGGTGCTAGATAATTTTTGAAAGTAATTTTGTGGTTTTGATTGTCTATTAATGAAATATTTATTGCAACTCTTAGGAAATCTCATGGAAGAATAGTTTCACCATGATGGAAGGTGCTGAATGGGCTCTGATATGGAAGAAGGTAACCTCTCTGTTCATCACAACAATCCTTTTCAACCTTATCCCTGTGTTATCTCTGTTCTTGGTGACAGACAGCTGCTCCTGCTGAGCTTGCAGCTGGTATCTTGGATAACTCGGTTCCATCTGTGGGCCCTTTTCTCTCATTGATTAACTGTTTCCCATATTTTCCCTAATAAACTTTTCTGAGCTTTTCAGTAGTTCCTTGGTGGAGTGCTTTCCTTGCATGCTGGAGGCCATGGGTTCCATTTCCAGCTTTGCAAATAAATAAAACTTTTCTGAAAGTCTTATTTGACTTGGATCTCAGATCTGCAACTCAAATTTTAGAAGCAGAATAAATTGAACAATTGAGCCACGAGTCAAAGACAACCATTGGGATTAATCAGCTCTCTAATCCTGTGAACAGTGATGTAATCTGTGTAAAGCCTCTGGGTTGTCTTCTCTGGAATGTGACAAAAATGTTCTTCTATACTTCTTTGGCATTTAAACGAAACACTGAAACTTACGGAGCACTGTGCTCTGCTTGGTCAATTCCTATTGCCCAGCTTCTGCAAATTCCTCATTAAGTGTCCTCACATTTAGATTCAGCCTGGATGCAGAGGCATTTATACATGTTCAGCACAGATCAACAAGACACGGTATCTTGACCAGCGCCACTCACCTCCACGGAAGGAAGCCTACGTTGTTGGAATTTATGAATGTCCTGTTGGTCATTTTTCTTAAATTCTCTAGAAACTTTTAACCTCTGAAGGATAGAAACATTTTTCTCTCAGTTATTCTTCCTCTGAGCAGACTACTATGCACTGATGTGCACTCTCCCTCTTAGCAGCTCTCTGTTCAGGCCTGGAAAACTGCAGCTATTCTGCTTCTTCATGCCCTATACAATAAATGATTTTGTATTAGTGTTAACCAGTGAAGTTTTCATCTCAAAGAGGCACCATCACCAACCTTTTATGAGATTAGGGCTCTGTTATCTCTAATCCTCTCTGGTGATTCTTTCTTGACTCTGGTTAATTTTCTTACACATGCACTGATAGCAATCTGACCCTTCAGTGCAGCTCTCCTGTGCTGAGGTCCTGCAAACACTAGCCACTTTGGTCTCTCCTCTGAGCTTTGCATCATCAACTCACGGTTGTTCCATCACAGTTCCTTTTGGCTTACCCTGGAGTCTCCCACAGTGCAGAAGTGAAGGCCAGCCACAGAGTGAACTTATTTATCATTTCAGTGCTCAGGAATCAATGTCCTTCAATGTCTGATGGTTTTATGTTGTTGTTTCGCATATTTAGTGATATTTTAATGTTATTTTAGGTAAACGTGTCTCTTGCATGACAGTGTCTAAGAGGGGAAGTCATCCTTATTTTATTATGCCACACTGTACTCTCCTTCTTCTTTGGTATCTTCTAAAGTCTACTCTAAAATACAATGTCACTATTCTATTCTTTTTCTAAGAATTCCAAAGAACAAGACTATATTTTTGCAGTAATCATAGTCTGGTGGATAATAAAGCACTTATTTAAATATGCTACACCCAGAGGAAAAAAATGTCTTTGATAACAATATTTTTCTGTCATTGTTTGGTAGACATTTCTGAAGAGGGAAAGAGGGTCAGCATGTATGGAGTGCAAGGCTCCCTCCTTCTAAGCAACCAAGATAACCTCCACAGATCTCCTATGTACGCATGCATAAAGGGAGTTCTCCCTCAGTAAGTGTTGGTTTTGATAGTCACCACCTCGTTTTTTCATCTTTCTCTCTCATTTCAGATGTCCAGGAAGAAGATGGTAGCTTTCCTCCTCAGGACCTTATTTGAAATCCTTCTCTTTGATTCCCTGTATTCTTAATCCTCTAGTTTTTGATCATTTACAGGTTTCTCTGCTTGCTGTCTTCTCCGTGCCATCCGACATCCCCTGCTGGCAAACCCATGTTCCTAATTACCCTGTTGCCTGGGTAACACATGCATCCACATCTTGAGACCTCAGCCACATTCAGAGCTTCTGATTCTGGACCTCTTGATTTCATTGGCTCATGGAATATTTAAAGTCAATCTGATATAAATTCCGTTTATTTTCTTTTAAATGTTCTCTTACATGTGTTTTGATGTAATGAAAGTTAATGCTATTAGTCTAAGTCTTTTCTCACACTCAATTTCAGTATATAACCTCTAAATATCTGCATCATCTTTTTTATAATTTTAATTAATTAATTAATTAGTTTATTTTTTTTCTTTGTGGTGTTGAGGATTGAACCCAGTGCTTCACCCAAGCTAGGCAAATGCTCTACCACCCAGCCATAACCCCAGCCCATACATCATCTTAAGTGTTAATTAAAATGACATTTATTTAACCCATGACATTATGTTTAATAGGTTATTTTGATATTCATCTTAATGATTACCTCTGTCTCTATTCTCTACTCCCAATCATAATCCTGTCTCTATTCTATAATCATTTAAATATAGCCTGTTAAAATACTTATCCTCTATTCTTACATAGTCCCCATTGTGAGTTAGCATCTGCATATTAGAGAGAACATTTGGCTTTTGGTTCTTGGGAATTGACTTATTTCGCTTAACATGATATTCTCTAGTTCCATCCATTTACTGGCAAATGCCATGAGTTAATTCTTTTTCAAGGCTGAGTGATATTACATTGTGTATAGATACCACAGTTTCTTTATCCATTCATCTGTTGAAGGGTACCTAGGTTAGTTCCATAGCTTAGGTATTTGAAATTGTGCTGCTATAAACATTGATGTGGCTGTGTCACTGTAGTACGCTATTTAAATCCTTTGGATATATATCAAGGAGTGAGATAACTGGATCAAACGGTGGTTCCATTCTAAGTTTTCTGAGGAATCTCTATACTGATTTCCAGAATGGTTGCACCAATTTGCAGTCCCACTAGAAACGTATGAGTGTGCCTTTCCCCCTACATCCTCCTCAACATTTATTGCTGCTTGTATTCTTGATAATTGGCATTCTGACTGGAGTGAGATAGAATCTCAGTGTAGCTCTGAATTAGGCAGAGGGGAGGGAAGGGAGAGAAAGGGGGTATTAGGGTAGTAATTATAGTAGAACAAATTGGACATTATTACCCTATATGCATATATGATTACATGACTGATGCAACTCTATGTACAACCAGAAGAACGAGAGGTTATACTCCATTTATGTACTATGTGTCAAAATCCATTCCATTGTCATGCATAACTAATTAGAACAAATTAAAAAATAGTATGAGTTAAAAAAATTCTTAGCTTCTTGAGAAGTGTCTGTTTAGTTTCTTAGCCCATTTATTGGTTGAGAAATGCAAATTAAAACTACTGCAAAATTTTATCTCACTCCAGTCAGGATGGTAATTATCAAGAATATAAGTAAAAGTTAATGTGGCAAGGATGTGAGGGAAAAGGTACACTCATATCTTGTTAGCGGGACTTCAAATTAGTACAATCACTCTGGAAAGCAATATGAAGATTCCTCAAAAAAACTAGGAATGGAACCACCATTCCTACGACCACTTGACCCAACTATCCCACTCCTCGGTATATAAAATCAGCATACTACAGGGACACAGCCACATCAATGTATATAGCAGCTCAGTTCACAATAGTAAGCTATGGAGCCAAACTTGGTGCCCTTCAACAGATAATTGGATAAATAAAATGCAGTATACACATGTATGCACACAATGGACAATACTCAGCTATAAAGAAGAATGACTACACTACACCAGCAGCTCTGCTTAATGTATATTTAATGAATAAAGTACTTGTCATAAAAAAAGAAGAATGACTTTAGGCATTTGCTGGTAAATGAATGGAACTGGAGACTATCATGGTAAGTGAAATAAGCCAGTCCCACAAGTCAAAGATTGAATGTGGTAACTATTCTCCCCCTGCCTCCCGATGCAGATAGATAGATAGATAGATAGATAGATAGATAGATAGATAGATAGATAGAAGTGAGATGAGAGGAATTCACAAAAGGGAATGAAAGTAAGGAAGGAGAGAAGAGACAGGGAAAGTCAGTGGAATGAATCTGACCTAACTTTCCTATGTACATATTTGAATATACCACAGTGACTCTCACCATTATGTGCATCCACAAGACACTAATTTAAAAAACTTTAAGTAAATGTCAGAAGAACAGTAGAGTAGAGGGAAGTAAATGGGGTGGGAGGAAGGAAGGTAAAAATACTGGGGACTGAAGTAGAACAAATTATATACCAAGCTTTTTATTATTATGTTATAGTATATTCTATTGTCATGTGTAACTAAAAAGAACCAATAAAATAAAATGAAGTAAAATCTTTATCCTTTATGAGTTATAATACAAATTAATATCTTAGTATAACTTATAAGACACTTTCTCGATCTGCTACAGACACTCATAAAGAACCCATGTGGTACTTGTAACAAGTCCCGTTTCGCCACAAGATGGTAGTAAAGCACCGGGGATTAGACAACACTCTGACAAACTCTTCTGCCAACTTGTCATTGCACCAACCAAGTAGTTTGGGGCAGTCAGCTAACACTTTGTGAGCTGCAGATTTCTCCTCCCTTAACATGATGACATCCTTTTTTCCAGGAAGGTAAAATCTCTTAAAATACTACAAGCTTATCTCTTATTTGGGGCTGACATTGGATGGGAGAGCTGGGAACTGCCTCTAACTAACAGAATGTTTCTAACTAATAGACTCAGTGGTCCTTTTCTAATTCCATGAAGTTCATTTTGGTTTTCTGATTATATCCTTTTTACCACCAAATGATAATGATAATAAGTTAATTTGAAAAGGCAGAGTAAACTTTTTTCCACATACTTTTCAAATAAAAATTAGGAATGACTTAGGTATGGGCCTATGTCTGCAGGCAAAAGTTTTCTTGTCATTAAAAATAATATGCAAACAACAAGACAAACAACACATGGTTAATTTTATTTCATTTTAAATTTTTTTACTTATTTTATTAATATTAT